CCTAGGGCGTGGGTCCCGACGGTACGCTTTACTGGCTCTGGGGCCTTGAGCACGTGACTTACCCTCTCTGAACGTCAGTTTCTCTCCTTGGTAGGCAGGGATAGGAACAGTAAATAAGCACCAATAAACTGAAATAAGGTGCTTAAGACCCGCGGCACAGCTCCTGGCGTGTAGTACGTGCTTAATTAATGGTCGTCTTGACACGCACACACGCACACAAAGTGCATGCTAGCTCGACCACTCAAAGGTCTGGGTTTGACCCCCACGGTACAAAACCAAAACCAAAGGCAGTATTCAATTATCTCCCAAACGCGTCCCTCTCCCGAACCAACTCTTAAGAATGGGACACTCAAAACCAGAGAACGTGAAGTGCTGACATTTGCTTGGGCAGCCGGAAGAGGCCCGGTAGGAGGCTGGGCCACTTTCCTCGGAGAGCCTGAGGAGGCCCAGCAAGCCCGACCAGCTTTACAAATTGCTCCCTGACTCACGGGTCCAACTGTAAAGGGAACAGAACATCGAGCTTGGTACGTGGGCACTGGGAAATGTTAGGGTGGGGTACACACGAAGCCCTATGTATTCCCCGAAATAATGACACACTAAAGGCAGCCAAGCCAGTTAACAGTGTTACGGAGAGCACAGACATTTCAGAGTGCTGCAAGGGAAATGGAATGACTCATCAAGACACTGGATAGTTTAGGGGTGCCTGGGTGGCTCAGTAGGTTAAGGGTCTGCCTTCAGTTTAGGTCATGATCCCAGGATTGAGCCCCGCATCAGGCTCCCTGCTCAGTGGGAAGCCTGCTTCTCCCTCTGCCCCTCCCCCTGCTCATGCTCTCTCTCTCTCAAATAAATAAAAAAATCTAAAAAAAAAAAAAAAAGACTTTGGAAGAGTTTGGAAAAATCTGGGTCTGAATCCTTTCTGCATCACTGACAATGCTGTGACCTGAGCCACTTGGCCCCTGAAGCTCAATTTTCTCATCCATAAAATGGGGATGGATACCACCACCTGTGTCCAGGGCAAGCTGGAGGATTCTAAGAGTGCCAACATCCACGACACACTAGTCCAGTGCCTGGCACACATAAGGATGCCCAATGAAATGTTCCCGGTGTTTGTAACTACTGGGAAGCAACCAGAGAATACTGAAAGAAAAAGACAGAGAGCCTGGCAATCTACTAGAAAACATGTCTCTGAAAGGCTCACGTTCCATATTCCTTTTTCTCCTTGGAGAAATCACTCACAAGCCCGCACACACGTACGACACTCTGTGTCCCGGCCCTGGCCCACCTCCGATCCTGCCGGATCCTCACAGCAACCCTCCCAGGCCACAGGACTCTGCTCACAGAGGCTCCGAGGGATAAGTGACCTGTCCAGGCTCACACAGGCAGGGGAACATCCCCAGCCTCGGGGAGGGGAGGCCCGGTGATCCTGGAATCACCCAGGGAGCTTCTTTCAAAATACACCTGTCTGGTCCCCTGCCACCGCGAGCCCTGTTCTTAATAGGAGAGGGGCAGGGCCAGGAATCTGTCTGTATTGTTAAGAACAACAACAACAATGAAAACCTCCCCGGGGGATCCTAAGGCATGACTGGTTGAGAAATGGGGCTTTTCGCCTGTTTCTCAAAGCCCTGCAAAATTCGGGAGTGGATTGCTGTGGACTGATCGTCCCAGAGGGCAGGGAGCAGTTGGGAAAAGACCCCCGGAGGACTCCCGTTTGTCCCACTCTGGCTGAGAAACACTGTTCCAAACAATGAGGCATTAGCCTGGCGAGGAGACAGCAAATGAACGGAAAATAGAAAACCCCCTTCAGCTTTGGTGCAGGTGGCAAGCGACCCCGCGGATGAAAAACCCTGCATGCTTATGAGGGGACACAACATTCACAATATTATCGAAAATCAGCGCAGGGGTCTTTATTTATTGGCATGGAAAAAGAGTCCTGATACACTGAAGAAAACAAACAAACCACACAAGTTTGTATGGCCTGATCGGATTTTGGTTAAGGAACAAGATATCCTCCCCATCTCCCTCAATCTAACTCTCCATCTGCAGAAAATAATCCAGAAGGATTAACACCAAAATGCTGAGAGTTGTCATGGGAGGTGGTCAGGGGGGCAGTGGTAACAGCTGCCTTTTTTTTTTTTTAACTGATGGTGTTTCACTATTGACTCTGTGTTCCAACTAATAAGCATGTTACTTTTATTTTTAATGATTTTTAATGATACCCAACACCAATCAATACCTCCTCCTTGTCAAAACCATCTTACAGAAAGAAAGCTCCCTTTGTCCACTCTCAGACTTCAGGACCTTCCCAGAGGTCACTAATCACCCCTGCATGTACATACATACTGACACTTAATCTGGGTCTTTCCTTAGATACATGTTATTTGCATCTTGTGGTTTTTCACCCAACAACAGGCCTTGAGGATCAGTCCACCACAGCCCACATAGATCCAGTGCATCATTTGACGTTCTTAAGTTTAAAAAAATAAATAAGTAAAGCTAATTTTACGGGGTCGAGAGAAAACACCCCCAGAGTAGCTAGTCTCTGACCCTCTCAGAGACAGCCTAGAATAACTACCCAGCTGTCCCCTTTCTCCTCTGGTCAGGGCCCAGGCTCTGCCCACACCTGGTTCCTCCCCGCTGCACTTACCCAGAAAGCTTGTGTCCTGCAGCTGAAGCCTGGCCACATCCCAGGCCCGCTTGACGCCAATGTTTGGTAAGTTGAGGCACACTTTCCCACTGCTGTGGGGCTGAAGCCGGAGGAATGTTCTCAAGTTCAAGGCCACAGCCAGTGCCACCTGTAGAATAAAGGGCAAATACAATGAGCCTGGGCATGGGGGGGGAGGTGCAAAGAGTTTGGCTCCAGTCTTAAAACCGGGGGTCAATGTCAATGTACTGAGGAGAGAGAGCACATACTAGCATGTAGGGCACATGCCCACCCATGCCCATGGCAGACACTGCTGATCAACCTTGGCATGCTCTCCCACTAAGTGACACAGCCTCTACCCATCAATTAGGAGCTGATATCTACTTATGTTTGCCCTCCCCGTGCAAAACTTCAGAGGTCCTCCACACAAAGGAAAGGCTTCCCCACAATCATCATGTCAGCAAAGATAAAGTTAGGAACATAAAGAATGACGAGGAGTGGAGGAGCACAGGAGTGGAAAAAAGCATGAGCTGTGGGTTCAGACAGACTTAGGTTCATTCCCGGTTCTGCTAAGGTACACGGGACCCTGGTCAAGCTACCAACCCTCTCCTAAGCCTCAGCTTCCACATGTGCAAAATGGGATAATCAAAGTTTAACCACAGAGGGCCGTCCTAAGAGTTAAATGAGATAATGCATCTCTCAGTCTTCTTTGCTGGATCCTACTCATCTTCCCCACTTCTGAATGTTGGGGTGCCCCAGGGCTCAGGGCTCCCACCTCTTTTCTTCTCCACCGAAGCCCACCTTCCATTCCAGGTTGTCTCATTCCACCTGCACAGCTTTACATTTCAGCTTTGTGCTCTCTTACTGGGTGAGGCCAGGGAAGCCCTTCAGTGGGTGTAAGACCTGTCTCTTCCCTGCCTCGCTGCAGAGAAACTGATCTCCTCTCCTGCGTACTCCCAGGCTATGCCTCCAGGCTTCCTTTTGGCTTAAGAGTAGGGTCAGGGAGAAGAGGTGCCCAATTCTCAAAGGCTCTGGGGGACTTTACCTTGCCGTGGACCACGGCATGCTCTCCGTGAAGGATGACTTTCCCTGGAGCAGACACCAGCAGGACTTCTGACAGCATGGCTCCTGACAATCCTGAAAGAAAAAGCCTGAGAGAGGATGAAGCGATACTAGAGAATGCCTAGTTCAAACTCATCATTCTAACAAAAAAGGCAGCTACCATTCAGCACTTGCTATGCACCGCAAAGACTGTGCAGTGAGGCAGTGCACTAAACGCATGAGAAAAGACCTGTGTTCAAATTCCAGTTTTTCCACTCTCCCGTGAGGTCATCTTCACTAACTCACTCAAACGGCTAGGAATCTCGGTTTCCTCATGTTATGTGGGGACAAGAACTGGACTTACTTTAACGGGTTTTGGAAAGGTTACCTTACATAACGCAAGAGGAACACCTGGCAGTGTCCGGCACTCATTCAATTACTGACAGCTATTTGTTAACTGGTTCGCTTCTTGGTTGCAGCTTTTATTACTGCTACTGTCTAAGGCAGAAATTTAAATGAAATCATGGGCCAGAAGGAACGCTTCCCTGGACTTTTAGGCTGCTTCCATTGCCTCACGATGATAAATCACAGGCTGTAGAAAACAGCCGTCAAACGCCTTCTTGCAAACGTAAGCCAGGATCTCTACAATACAGAGTCCTAGAAAGTGACTTGCTGGGTCTACAGGTGTGCGCGGCTTAGATTTTTATAAACTCTGCAGAATTACCACCCATTTAAGGCCTCACGTGCATTACCTTAATATAAGACACAAGCCGTGTACTATTGTGATCCCGCTTCTTAGCGGGGGAAACTGAGGCTCGGAACCGGGAAACCCACTGCTTGTCCAATGCTCCAAACCACTTCAGATTCGAGTTCGCCGACCGCTCGGGACGGACTCCCAGAGTCGGGGACACTGAGCCAGAGAAGCCGGGAGCCCGGCACCAGGTCGTCCTGGGTCTCAGCGTCAAACCTTGCGCCACCCAGCCCCGAGACCCCAGGTTCTCACCTACCTCCGCCAGCCCCGGGAGCCGAAGCGGGAGCGGTTCCGGACCTAGTCCCCGAGCGCCCCTCTCCCGGGGGGAGGGGCTCGTCCTACCTCTCCGCCAATCAGAACACGCGAGCTGGGGCGCCCTTTCCCAGTTGGCTTGAACATTGAGCAATAGGTGTTGCAACAAAGCTGTCACGGGTTTCCCCGCCCCTTCAGTGAACCAATGGGAAGCAAGCCCCTGGGAGTGTCCCGCCCTGGGTCGAGAGCCACGGACCAATGGAAAATGGGGCTGAACGGTGGTGCGGCCGGAGGTAGGTGGAGTCACTCCGGGAGCTGGACGGGAGCCTGGCGGGGTCAGCCCCCGACGAGCTGCCTGGCGGATGGCTGTGTGGGGCCTGGGAGGCCGCCTTGGCCTGCGCGGGGGTGTCGGCGCCGGTGGGCTACTGTGTCCTCGTTTCCAGAGCCACCGCCCCCAGGGCGTGCAAGACGGGGACGGGTGAGTGCCTGGCTGGGAGGGTAACTCGGATACCTGCCGCAAATTGTGGGGTCGTCGCTATGGTGACGTCACACCGCTGTGAGGTCACCGTAGCAACCGCCGGGTGACGTCCACTCTTGGTCCTAAGTGGTCACGTGGCCACGTGGGCCCCTTGGAAGCCAGAGACCAAGATTTCTTTGCGCAAGTCCGAAGGAAGCCCAGCTGTCAGGGCAGGGCAAGTCCCACGGGGGCCGGGAGGGCCATCTTGCCGGGCCTCACAGTCAGGTGGGGGCCTCAGTTCAGATTTTGACGTAGCTCCAAGGCAGTTTATCCCTTAAGACGCAGAGATACACCAACACGATCTGAAGATGGCTGTCATCATAGACCTTTAAACTTGCACCCCATTTCTGGACCTCAGAACCTGCAGAGTACCATGAATTAATAATGGATCGATAAATTTCATAGATCCAGTAATTGAACGTTTTGAGTAACTTCCTAATGCCATGTTTTAGTGTGGAAGCCTGTATTAAAAGTGTTATGTTGCAATTTGAAAATGCCAGAACTCGACTCTGTTTTAGCAGTTCATCATTCCTGAGTATACCTGAAGCTTCATAGAATGGAAGTGGCCCAGATTGCTTTCTCTCCGAGAAGCCTGGACTTGGTGGAATAGAGGATAAGAGTTTGGGTGGGTGGAAGTAAGAGTTTGGTGGGGGCAGTAAGGTAGTCTTGGGCATGAATCCCAGCCCTGTATCTTCCTTCCTGGGTGACCTGGGAAGGCAAGTCTCATCCTGTGAGCTCCAGTTTTCTCAACAGTAAAATGAAGGTCATAGATAGTTCCTATCTTTGGGGCTGTGGAAAGATTCCAGGGATGATTCCAGGAGAATGCCAGCAATCAGTTAGCACAGTGCAGAGCCTATGGAAAGTGATCAGTAAACTCTTTCCATGAATATTTATTGAGCATGAGCTACTCTGCAGATATGGATGTGGGCAAGACACAGAACTTGCCCACAAAGGGCTGCACTAGGAAGAAAAGGAGGGGAATGATGTCAGCAGAGATGCCGGCAGATGCTGGTGCTGCCCCTCAGGCTACAAGCAGCAAGCTGTGACCACTGAGGGAGGTGTCACACTGGGGAAGCCATCCCCGCTCACCACGTCTTGATGTCTATTTCTCATCAGGCCACAGTCTTCCTTGAAGACACCCAAGATCCCCAAGATATACACCAAAACAGGAGACAAAGGTAGGGGCCGGGTAAAACATGCAAAAAAAGAAAAAGAAAAAGAAAAGATAGTCAACTCCATCTTAAAGTTCTGCCAAATTGTTCAGTCATTAAAAATTATGTAAATCTCAATAAATATCATCAAATGTGATGTGAAATGAAAGAGGCCTAAGACATATATATATGTGTGTGTTTTAAAAATATATATATTTTAAAAGATTTACTTATTAGAGAGAGAGTACGCTCACATGAGTGGGGGGAGGGGCAGAGGGAGAAGGAGAGAGAATCCCAAGCAGACTCCGCTCTGAGCACAGAGCCCAGTGCTGGGCTTAATCGCACGACCCTGGGATCATGACCTGAGCCGGACACTTAACCAGCTGAGCCACCGGCGCGCCCCAGATGCATAAGATAATGCCTAAGATATATTAAGTGATAAAAGCCAGTTGCAGAACAATCCAAATAATTGAAATCCACTTGGATAGAAGTGTGTTTATGTGTGTAGGTTCGTATGTGTTCAGATAGGCATAGAATACTCTGAAAGCTTACATCTTGGAATATTACCTGGGAGAGGGATTGAGGATTGAGTTTTGAGAGAGGGGAATGAACAGAAGGGTTTTCATTGTTTATGGTACATACTTTTATTCTATCCTATAATTTTTTGTAATGAGCATAGATTACTTTGATTATTTAAACAATACCAGAATGGGACGCCTGGGTTGGCTCTGTCAGTTAAGTGTCTGCCTTCGGCTCAGGTCATGATCTCGGGGTCCTGGGATTGAGCCCCGTATTGGGCTCCCTGCTGAGCGAGGAGTTTGCTTCTCCCTCTTCCTCTGCTGCTCCCCCTGCTTGTGCACGCACCCTCTCTCTCTAATAAATAAGTAAATAAAATCTTTAAAAAAAATAAACAACACCAGAATATAACATACAGAAAAAAGTGAGATGTGGAAGAATATGTCAGTGTGACACATTTTCTAAAGTTTAAAACTGTGCAGATCACCAGTGTATGTGTATTTGGGGGGGGTCTGTACTTACGTAGTAAAAGTGTAAATGACATGCATACGATGTTTTTAATGCCACCAAACTGTACTCTTAGAAATGGTCAAAACAGTAAGTTTTATGTTATGTATATGTTACCACAATAAAAAAAAAAAAAAAAAAGGAAAGAAAATGTGCCTAGGGACAACAAACAGAAGGTAGTGTTGATGCCCTCCAGCAGAGACCTCTAAGGACAATGTAGTCAAGTCAGGTTGGGTCAGTTAGCTCCTTACGTGGCATACCATGCGCTCAGTGAGAAGATGCTGGAAAGGACTCATTATAGGACTGGGCTTATGTTAGGTGATTGGGGGAGAGTTCCAGGAAGTGGGGCTTGTGCTCTGGATTGGATGCTGTCAGGAAGCAGGCCTAATTCTCTAGTTGGGTTTCTTAAATCACTTTTAGTTGGAAGGTGGGAGAGACAGAGAGAGGCTGAAGCTATAATTGATAAAGGAGCAGCAGTCCCTCGCCTTGGCCAGAGGGACACCAAACATGGGGGTGTTTGGTCATTGTTACAGTTTGGACAGTGTTCTGGGCTCAGACATGATTATGGAGGCTCTTGTTTTGGTCTTGATGTGTCACAGTCCGAGTGGGGCCACCAGATGGTGTTCTGTGAATTCGTTCGAGTTCCAGCAGGAGAACACCACAGCCCACCTATGAGCGCCAGGCTGGCGCTCCCAGCTGTGGGGAGCAGGTTTGCTCTTTTCCCGTGGTTAGGGTAGAATGGTAGCAAATTGTGACCTAGGCAGAGATACAGAGGACTTCGATTTTACGTGAAATATAATTATAACGTATACATAGTATGTATCTCCATGTCTTATTTCTTTGCAGGATGGTTAGTCCATGATTTTGAGGCTTAAAATAAAAGCATATCAGGAAAGAAGTGAGGGTCGTGGTTACCCTTAGGAGTAGCAACTGAAAGGGGGTACGTGGGGGCTTCAGGGATGTGGATCAGATTCTAGTTCTTGATCTGGGTGCTGATCACAGGTATATTCAGGTGGTGGCAGTTCATCAACATGTACACTTAATTTTTTTTTAAGATTTTATTTATTTGAGAGAGAGAAAGAGCCCGAGCGGGGGGAGGGGCAGAGGGAGAGAGAGAATTTCAAGCAGACTCCACGCTGAGCGGGGAGCCTGACGCGGGGCTCGATCCCAGGACCCTGAGATCATGACCTGAGCTGAAGTCAGACGCTTAACCGACTGAGCCCCCCAGGCGCCCCCAGCTGGTACACTTATGATTTGAGCACTTTTCTGTGTATATGTTCTACTTCAGGTGGAAAGTTTTTTAAAAAGAGCATATTAGGAAAATTAAAAAAAAAAAATCTTAACTTGAGTGGCTAAACATTTTTTCACAGGGTTTTCTAGCACCTTCACTGGAGAAAGGAGACCTAAAGATGACCAAGTGTTTGAAGCCATGGGAACTACGGATGAATTAAGTTCAGCCATTGGGTAAGGCAGACGGGATTGGCCTTGAGGTTGAGTTTGAATTGGCATCAGTCAGCGTAGTTTACGTATAGCTCTCGAGAGTGCTGGCTGGTCTCCCGGGCTGCCAACCCTCGAGGAACCTGCCTTGGCCTGGCAGTGCAGGGGCCTGGGGTCAGTTCCACAAGGCTCCCGGGCTGCAGGCTCCTTTCCCTCCCTGCCCCGCCTGCCCCTGCCTGGCATCCGTCCCACACATGTGAAGCTGCCTTGGCCCTCTATCCCTGGCTCCCCCACCCTCCAGGCGAGTACACTTCTCAGTGACAGGCCTGGCTAGGTGAGATACTCGGGCCAGATAAGGGCAGGTGCAGAGGGTCAGAGGGTCTGCCAGCAGAGTAGAGAAGGCAGACGCTTTGGTCTGTGTGTGAAGGCGGGAGGTGAGGCACAGGATGAAATGGGCCGAGGGGAAGGAAGATGAGGTGGGCAGCGGCTGTTTAGGATGAGCGGATCAGCAGGCCGTCAGCCCCCAGTCCGTGCGGGCAGGAGATGGGGGACATCTCAGTTGTGGATTCTTTGTCAGATCGTGAGCGAGCACCTCCACGTGCCAGGCACGGCTCAGCACGGCACCCCAGCCCACATGCTCCATGGAGCCCGCGGTCCGAGGGGGCCGGGGAGCAGACACTAGAGGGGCATCTACAGGCGGTGGGGGCCTGATGGAGCAAGCACTGAGGAGGGGCCGACACCTGGCCTGCGTCATGGGGACGTCCTCAGTGCCGATATTCCTGAGCACCTACTTTGTGCCAGGCAGGGGGAGGGGATACTGCTGTGCTCAGGGCAGACGGTGTCCGGCCTGCAGAGTTGTCCCACACTAGATGACAAATGACACGTTTGTCTCTTTAGTTCTGACTGTAAGATGGACTATGAAGGTGCACTGGTGGTTTTTCATTGGCCCTTTTGAGGCCGTTCTCCACCCTTGCCTTCATTGGTCTGCCCAGGAGGTAGCCTACATCATGTGGTGACACTTTCACCCCCCCCCCAGTCCCCTCGTCCTCTGGCTTCCGGGTGGGTCCAGCCAATGGGAGGCACCAGCAGGAGACAGAATGTTGATGGAGACAGGTGAGGGAGCATTTCTGCCCCTGCTCCCCAGTGACTCTTGCCCGGCCGGCTGCATGGCTCCGGGCAGCGGCCCGCCCCCCCCCCCCTTCAGGCCCCTGCTTCTGCTCATCTTTGCCATCCATTGTCAGTTTCCAGAACTCTTCCCACACTCTGTTCATAGTCCCCTCACCAGCCTTTCCTCTAAGAACCCTGTGAATGCGCCGCTGACTCTTCCCTGCCCAGGACCCTGCCTGGTGCAGAGAGAGGGAGCAGAGTTTGGAGGGAGGCAGGAGCCGGGGTCCTCACCTGCACCTGGGGTGCTTGGCCTTCCTTGTCCCACCTGCCTTCCCAGGGAACTCCTACTCAGCCTTCAAAGTCCCACCTCCAGCACCACTTCTTCCAGGAAGCCCTCCCTGAACCCCAGCCAAGGCCAAGGTTCTCGGGACTCTGGCCCTTTCCTCCAGAGCACTGACCTCAGTTTGCAACTTCACATTCAGTCACGTGATACCCGATTCCCACCTTCCTGTCCTGCTAAACACAGCCTGTATCCCTTGCGCTCACGCTGAACTGCCTGGACCGGGCCAGAGCAGGCACTGAAGAAAGAAGCATCGGCTGGATCAGTAATGAGTATAAGAAAAGGCATTTTGAGCAACACACACCCAATAACCAAATGAGAGTTTCTGACGTTCTTCCCGTCAGCAAGAAAAACAACACCGCGTGTGTTAAGAGCTATATTAGCTAAATGACCCACACCGGGTGAACCTGCTGCCTTCTGTAAGGCAGGGCCCAGGCACGTTATATTAGAGGCAGATTCTTTTCTTTTTCCTCATAGGTTTGCTTTGGAATTCATCACAGAAGAAGGCCACCCATTCGCTGAAGAGCTTCGGAAAGTGAGTAGCCGTGTTGCGCCCCACGCTGGGATATTTGTCCCTGTGGCCAGGCAGCCGTCACCGCATTTGCCATCTGACATCTCTTCCTCTTTGTGCCACCTGGGGCTAGTCAGTCTTTCTCCGGGAGCCTCAGTTTCTCCACCTGCCAAATGGGGACACACGTCATCCTCCCAGGCGAGGGATGAGACAGCACCGGGGCTGGGGGGGGTGGGGGGGGAGTGTAAATTGAAGAGACCTTGACCCAGGGCGATTCTGGGCCCTCCCGGGGACGCTCGGCAATGTCTAGTGTTATTTTTGGTTGTTACACGTGGAGGCGGGGCGCTCCCGGCATCTAGGTGGCAAAGGCCAGGGATGCGGCTAATGTCCTACCGTGCACAGGACAGCCCCCACACCAGAGACTGCCTCGGGCCCGAACGTCAGCAGCCCCAGGGTGGAGAAAGCTGGGAAGGCCAGCTTCAGTAAGCCCTCAGCCAGGGGACTTTGTGGTCATTAGTATTCGTGTTCTGCTCCTTGGGAAGCCTGGAGGCTCTGACCCACAGACAGGACTTCAACAGTGGAGACAGCCACGCCCCCTAGAATGCACAGGACAAGGTTACAGTCTACAGGGTGAGCTGAGACTGGAAGCTGCTCCCTGGAGGGTCAGCCCTGCCCGCTTCAGTCCTCCAGGCCAGGCCGGAGCCCACTTAGGCTCGTGGGAGCAGACAGAGGGCAGTGAGGGGGCTGCAGAAGGATGGGAGGCTTCAACTGCTGGAACATTCTGTGAACGAGGGACCTTCTGTGCGCTGGAGGATGGCTTGTAGCCTCACGGTGCAGGACTGTTCATACCCACCGCGGTCATTTCTAGATCTTGTGCTCATCTCTGAGTGGAGTTTGCAAAGGGAAAAGGCTGGGGAGGGGCGCCAGTGATGTGACGAGCCGACCTGTGCTTGCGGCTCCTGTCCTGTGGGTCACAGCTTCGACATCACCTCCTCCGGGGCCTGGGCTGGCCCCCTGGCTTCCCGCGGGCACCACAAAGAGTGTCAGATGGTCTGATCCGTCTGTCTCTCCCGACTGGCCTGGGCCCCCCGAGGGTGCGGACCCTGACTTTCTCACCCGGGAGCCTCACCAGGGCCCTGCTCGCTGGGCATCTGGGAGAGCGCTGGGCTGCCTGGGCCCTGCTGTCCTCACGGAAGCCCGTGCCTGGAGGTCTGCGTCCACGTTGCTTGGGGCCAAACCGAGACTCTGAAAGGGCCGCTTGCCCAAGGCTCCCCGGCCGGGAATCAGCAGAGCTGGGGTCCGATTCCCAAACTGGTGCCAGCTCCCTCCAGTCCTGGGGGCAGACGCTGCAGGGGGCCAACCACGGGGGTGGTATTGTTGCTCTGCCTCCCACCGGAAGCCCCAGAGACACCAGGCGCTCAAGTAACTCACCCAAGTGGCAGCCCAAGGAGGGTTCCGGTCCGCTGCTGGGTGGGCTCCCCTGTGTCCTGCTCCTGGCATGCCGTCAAGTGGCCCTCTTCACCGAGGCCGCAGACCCCCACCCGCCCCACGGCCCCCCGTGCAGCTCGAGTGGACTCTGGCTAGGCACAGCGTCCGAGGCCGTGTTTGCGGGTGTCATTGGCAGAGGCTCCGGTGGGGCGTTTGTCACGCAGGGGTGACCCCGTTCTCACAGATACTTGTCCTTTATGGTTTAGAAAGCACTGTCACGTTTGGTGTCTTGGCCGAGCTGTTCTAGGTCGGAAAACCAAAGCTGGCAGTTTAGAGAAAAGGAGAAACCTCACGGGGCCCAGGCCCGAGGGAGACGAGGACCAGGTGAGAAGATCATCACTGGGCCATCACTGGGCGCTTGTCGCTCCTCGTCGGGGTAACCCAGATATCCCCGAGGGACCCAGGGTCCCCCTCCGCAGAGCTGGCGTCCAAGGCAGGTGTGCGGAAGGTTCAGCCGACTTTGTTAATGCATTAGCCTCCAAGTGCCGGCTAGCCAAAGGACCGGAGAGTCCCCGTCAGGCCAGACCCTGCGCGCCTTGGTGGCGTCAGGTAGCCCCCTCTGCGCGAGGAGTCCCGTCATCTCTGCTTGGCGGGCCACGAGTGGACCTTCCTTCTCACCTTCTGTCGCTTCCCAGGTCCAGTGCTCGCTGCAGGATGTCGGCTCTGCCCTGGCGACACCGCGCTCCTCGGCCAGGGAGGCTCACTTAAGTAATCTCTCTGTGCTTGGAGGGCCCAAGGCGGTGGGGCTCCGTCCGGGGTGTCACCTGGGTCCCCCGGCTGCCTGGCCCCTAGACCCCGAGAAGGAAGGACCTCCCGAGCCCGTGGGCGGGGTTTGTAGAGCCCCTGGGCAGAAGGGACATGGGCGGTTTCCTTGGTCTGGCGGGCCGTGGGTCTCATGGCCATGTCCTTCTGCTTCCCCATGCCTCAGGACATGCCGCGTTCGAGGCAGGGCCCATCCTGGAGCTGGAGCAGTGGATCGACAAGTATTCCAGCCAGCTGCCCCCGCTCACGGCCTTTATTCTGCCGGTGGGTACCGAGGGGTCTCACCCAGGGGTTGGCTGCCAGCCAGGCGTATTCACAGAAACAGGCGTTGACTAAGTCCCCTCTTTTAATTCTTGCCAGTGACAGAAGCTGTCCCCCAGCTTCCCAAGTCCCCTCCAGACCCTCACCAGTCTCTCCCCCACCCCTGCCCACTTTGCCTTTGGAGGGGGGTGTCCAGCAGGTGTGCCCCTGCAGGGCCCCTGGAAGCAGAACACTGCCCGTTGAGGTGCGGGGCCCTATGTACCTGTTGGCCCATCTGTCTGCCGTGGGCACGCCTGCCCCCCCCATGCCGCCCCGCTCCCCCTGCTCCCGCCAACACCCACTCTCTCCTTCCAGTCCGGAGGCAAGGGCAGCTCCGCGCTGCACGTCTGTCGGGCCGTGTGCCGCCGAGCAGAGAGACGGTAAGGGGGCTGAGGGAGAGGGCGGGGGGCCGCTCAGAGCAGCAGGTAGGCCCATGGTGGGGGGGTTGGCTCCGTGCCGGCCGGCCGGCCATTGACAAACCTCCACCTGCCACCTTCACCGTACTGGGCGGCCACCAGCCAGACCAGGTCTCTGTCCTCAGAACCCTGCGTCGCCGCGGGGAGGCAGTGACCCGGGAGCCCACAAATGACAGATGATGTCACCACATCAAGAGCAGAGCTTCTAGAGAAACAAGAGCTTACGGGTGAACAGGGTAGGAGGCCAGGAGGAGGCCCTGGTGGGTTTAGCTGGTTATGGATAATTCCACCACCCACGAGGCATTAAAGTCAAAAGGCTATCCGGTGACACGCCCCCTCCCCTGTGCCCTGGCTCTGCATCCCTGGGGGTCGATGTAAGCGGGGCGGTCGGAGCTGGGCCGAGGTGGGGGGAGGACCCCACACCGTGGGCGGGGCTGTGGGGGGCACGCCACGGGCACAGGGAGGGTCACGCTGTGGGAGCCAGGAGTTGAAGGGTGTGGGGCACGGTGAGGCCAGAGGCCGGGCAGAGCCTCGTAGACGCAGAGGGGACAGATGTGCCTCTGTCCTGAGAGCCACAGGAAGCCATGGATGGGGTGACACGAAGGGACCCGGCTGGCAGCTGGGTAGAGAAGGGCCCAGAGGAGCCCCCATGGCTGTGGGGGGCTCGGGGGGGAGGCTCTCCACAGACCAGCCAGCCGCTGTGCCGACACCTCCGACGCGGAGTCAGGGAGGGGAGGGCCCCCAAAAGCTCCTGATAGCCTTTTCAGAGAAACTTTAAAAGAGCTCAGCTCACTGCACAGCCTCCATCTACACCACTCAGAGACCGGCTGCCACTGGCTTTACAGAGGAGTGGAAGTAAGGCACCACTTTGATACAGTTGGCAGGGCTGTGCTACACACTTCCTATTCCTTCTTCCGTTGATGCCTCATGATGACCTTGGCAGAGAGGGGGTGGCAGCCCCCAGCATACAGGAGCCAGGAAATTGGAGCTCAGAGAGGTGACATCCTGGCCAGGGCAGGCAGCCAGCTGGTCCCGAGCAGAGTCCAACCCTGAGCAATGTCCACAGTCCCACATCATAAAGCTTTCATCGCTCATGAAGTGGTTTGCCAGACAGATCCTGGGTAACAGAGCTCCGGCCTCAAAAGAACAAATTAGTCATTTGTACAAAACCATCCACCTCGGCAATGCTCATAATAGCAAAAAATTGGAGAAACCCAAAGGCCCAACGATGGGGCTTAGTCGAGCGGAGGATGGATCCTCAGTACACCGGACAGGGAGGTGGAGACGTGCCTGTGGGATGAAAAAGCCCCTTGGGCAGGGGCCACAAACCCAGAGCCTCGGTTTGGGGGGGAGCACCCCCCAGCAAGGGTTCTGCGGCAGAGGGGACACACAGGAGGGGCCTAGCAAGGGCAGACAGCAGTCCACTGTCTGGAACGTCTGCAGCCAGACTGGCGAGGAGCTGCTTCGGGCTCTGGAGGCGCTGGTGTGGGACGCAGCCCTGGGGCCCCCGGAATGTATGTGATGCGGTTTCCTCTCCTTCCAGCGTGCTACCTCTTGTCCAGATGGGTGAGACGGACGCTAATGTGGCCAAGTTCTTAAACAGGTACTCAGATGGAATTCGGGGAGTCCCGGGCCTCTGAAAAACTAGGCCCATTGTAACAATAAGGCCAGGGGCCCCACACACTCCTTCACTCCTTTCACACCCATGGAGGGTCTGCGACGTGCCCGGTGCTGAGCCCGCACAGGGATGCCGCTGAGAACAAGGCAGGCACTGTCCCTGTCCCTGGGGAGGTGAAGGTCTCACTGGGAGAGGCCATTATAAAAACCGGTGGCACAAAACATAAAAACAAAAGGGACAGTGTGTACCAAGGGGCCCGCTTTCAGGTTTGAGGGACCAGGGAGCTCAGGCAGGGATCTCTCAGGCCCTCCCTGCAAGGCCCGGGGGCCATGTGAACTGAGAAGAGATAGCTGGGCCAAGCCAGCTCAGGGCCATCCACGCCCAGGGCCCCCGAGCAGGACCCGGTGAGCTGGGCTGGCCCCTGGGAGGCTCCACAGGATTCTGTTGCAGCCTTGGCTCACGCAGTCCCAGTGTGGGCAAGGTCAGGGCCCGGGGGCAGGCTGAGAACCCAGGGGTCCCTGGGAGCTGTCCTGGGTGTCCAGAAAGTGACTTCACAGCCAGGGTCTGGCCCCTCGCTGTGGTCACCCTTCCCACTGGGATGTGACCTGACCAGTTCCATTCTTCCTGGGAGGTGGGTGGGCCTGAAGGGAGTGAGGAAGGTTCCATTCATTCTCATAGCAGCGACCTTTGGGGAACATTATAGTCCCGTAGGGTTGTGTGGGCTGAGCCAGTTCGTTCCCTTAGCAAGGAAGGCGGCACTGAGCAGAATAGCTACAAGTATGTCATCACCCCCTAGGAATGGGGGACGCCCAGAGCAGAACGTCTTCTGCTGCCCCCAACCCCTGTCCCCGGAGAGACAGCCAGGCACTAGGAGGAGGGAGGCTGGATCCCAGTGGGGGCGTGGGTCAGGGAAGGTTCCAGCAGGACCTGGCATGGAGCTGACCTCAGAGAGTAGGATTGGGGCCGGGAGAGGTGGAGGAGGGTGGTGGTCAGTGCTCAGCATGAAAACAAGAAAAGTGGGGGACAGTTGAGAGGTGGGCGGCTTCCTGAACTCACTGCAGGCACCCTAAGGGCAGGCTGGGTGTTTCAGTTTTGGGTGTCTCAATCCCGGCCACTGGAAGGTGCAGAAAGCAGCCCAGGAGGGGCCCAAAACCATCAGCCCTGTGAGGCCGGGTGGAGTTAGCGGCCTCATGCAGCAGGAACTGCCCCAGCCCTGGCGCCAGAGTTACAGAAAATGGCCTGGAGGGCCATCCATCAAGCCCAAGTTGGCTGAGCACCCGCTGTCCTGCCCAGTGCTCCTAGGGCATGTGATTGATATTTCCTCCTTGAAGGCTAATATGGGAAGGACCCTGTTAGCATTGATCTCTCCTTTCACATCATCCTGTTGACTTCTCTCTGCCCCTCCAGACTCAGCGACTATCTCTTCACGTTAGCCAGATACACGGCCATGAGAGAGGGGAATCAGGAAAAAATATACAAGAAAAATGACCCGTCAGAGCGAGCCTGAGGCACGTGGAAATAATGCAAAGGGGGAGCAAAGGGGGAGATTGGCAGACCCCTCGGAGGTGAAGAGTTTGTCCTTCCTGTCCTGATTCCTGAAGATCTCAGCTAAGGGGGCTGGGTGAGACTCCTGCCCGCTCCCCTAGGCTCTCCCGGGTCGTGGAGGAAGTGTGAACGAATGAACTCAGTATTGCAGAAAATAAGGTAAAAGTGATTGCTGTGCAAGGAAGAGCCACACAGAAAAAAAATAAAAGTGGGAAAAGCTCGAGCCGTGTGCGCGTGCACGTGCGTGTGTTGAGAGAGCCCTTCCACTGCGGGCTCAGGTGGTGTAAGGATTTGGAGCGGTACCAGAGGCCCCTGGAAATGGAACCGTGATTTAGCCATGCCACAGGGGCTGTAAGTGTCACCTTCATAAAGGGGAAGGCACACAGGGTTTGGAAGTGCGATCCCCTCTGAGCCACCTTCCCTGCCTGTGTGCGGGGGAAGGACAGCTGCAGACACACGGGGTGCGTGTGGGAGGAGTGCAGTCCAGAGAACCCCCCCTCCCGGCAGGGAGCCTTCCTCCCTCGGTGGGGGGCGGGGGGCTGAGGGACGAGGGGCAGAGACCCTGGTGAGAGCACAGCACTGCTCAGAGGGGGACTTCTTTCTCTGCTGGTCTCGGCCTCTGAGATCCGTGCCACGGCTGTGTTTTATTTCTCTTGTCACCCCTGCTCCCCCACAAACGACCCTGCCAGGGCCAGCTGTGTCCTTGGGAAGGGGATATTTATGCAGGGCAGGGAGGCGGCCCGAGAATGTGGAGACTGCACGCCGCTAATTGCAGGAAATGACTCGGGAAGGGCAGGCTCTCGCGACCTGTCAGGGCCCAGACGCCTGGCGGACTCTGTGCGGCTCTCACTCTGTCACCGAGCCCCTGCCCGGCGCCAGGCCCCAGCTCGGGCTCGGGGAGCCCGCTCACCCTGGCTGTCCTAGCCAGCGGCTCCGCGACGGCAACGACCACCGGTCACGTGCAGACTTGGGCTCTCACTGTCACCGCTGTGCCGGCGAGTTTTGCCGAAGGAACAGGTGCATGGCATCCTGCTGGCTCGCTCCCTCGGTTCCCGGCAGGCCGAGGTGCCGGTGCGCACAGGTGAAGGCGAAGGCCCTCCCAGTGGTTAGCGCCAGGTCTGGGCCTCAGCAGGCGCTCAGTGCTGGTGAGCGGAGCGGAGCGCGGCACCAGCACGACCGAGGGGCTCGGCACTCAGGCCGGGCCAGGGAGGCGCTCACCCCGGGAGCTCGCAGCGACCCAGTCCACTGACTCCGGATCTTCCTGAAGGAGCAGGACGTGGATAGCGGAACAGCCCCCCCCCCCCGGCTCCTAGCCGTGGTCAGACACCCTACAAAGGACGAGAGGAGCACTTTGAGTAAAGACAGCATCGAGTGAGGCTTCGAAACAAAGCAGTTGGCCTCTTGCCAAATCCCGGCCCCACCTGCCCTTGCTGGCAGCGGTGCAGGCCTGACGTTCGCTCTTTCCTCTCCGGGTCCCCAGGCCCCGCCTCAGCCACCTCCTCCCGAGGGCAGACAGCCCCCCACACAGGCCCAGGTGCAGGGTTGACTTGGCAGCTCTGCAGGGGCCGCATGCGTGGCCAGCCTGGGGAAAGCAGCAGGCCTGCTTTGCGGGCCCGGACGACGGACTGGGTTGGAGGGCTGGCGCGTCTGCAGGGCCTTACAGAGCCACAGTGGAGCCCGAAGCAAAAGGAAACCTGCGTACCCCTGCGTGCACGCGTGCACTTGCCAAAATAGCCTCCCGTGTCTGGAACCTAGTGGGAAACGTCAACACAAAGCTCCACCGTCAAAACACACGACTAAGGACGAAGCCCGCGGTGCCTGATCTGTTTGCACACCGCTGTCAGCGCTCGCAAGGGACGGCCCCCTTGCACACTAGGGCAGGGCCGGGAAAGAAACAGCGGGCAGCTTTTATTTAAAATTTCCACACCTCGGGGCGCCTGGCTGGCCCAGTCGGAGGAGCATGCGACTCTTGATTGCGGTCGGAAGTTCGAGCCCCGATGGGCAGAGAGATGACCTAAAAATAAAAATTAAAAAACCTGTGATTCCTCATTGATCATAGGTCTTTTGCATGATTTTGATCTACTTTTAGAATACCACGTGAAAATTGTATTTACCTTGATGCCTGGGGGTTTGGGCGCTCCCTTACACGGGCTCGCCTGCCTCCCCCCAGCGCTGCCTGGCCCCTGGGGACACATTTAGTGCCCTGCAGAGAGTAGCTGGTGGTTGGGTAGTGCAGTGGAGAGAGCCACACATAATCATCACGCCGGCCAGCGCCGGGGAGGGGTTTAAACCACGTGCCAGGCCCCGATCCTGGGGCACCACGGACAGCATTCTTGTTCAAACCTCAGAGCAACCCCGAAACAGCCACTCAGCAGGGGAGAAAACCGAGGCTGAGGGGAAGCCCCTTCCCCGTCTCAGGGCGTCAGCACCAAAGTGTGGGCCCCGGGATGGGGACTTGCGACTCCCCCGCCCCCACCCCTACCGCTCCTTGACAGCCGTTTTAATCACGACCTGGGCCCCCGAGAACAATATCAGATGCTAATAGATTCTGCTGTCTCATTTCTCAACCTAGTTTCCCTTAACTGCTATCTCCTGGCTATTGTTAATGTGCATTTCTCACCGAGTAATTTTCTCAGCCCGAACTTGTAACACATCCCAATGACAAACGTCCCGGTTCCGAATCCCCCGTCAGCTGCAATGTCACCCTCGCCTCCTCCCCAACACCTTCCCCCGACAGCCCATCCAGTTTTATGATCGCTCTGTCCCAGTTATCACTACTGAACCTTTAAGAATCCAGACACACTTCAAGTTTAATTGAATAAAATCCCTTGTATAATAAATTCCGCGTGAATGCTACATAAATCAGTACCAGGAAGGATTTGTGGCTCATCCCTGCCTGCCTTTGCCCGGGCTCGGGAGTCTCCCTGGCAATCCTGGACCCAGGCTGGCCCAGTCTTACTTACTGAGACCATTCACCTTTGCAGCCCAAGTGGGTGTGCAGTCTCCTTCCCTGGGAGTCCCTCGTGGAAGGCCATGCTTGAGGCCGAGCAGAGGCAGGGGACAGCCAGGTTGGGGACACCTGAGGCTGTGGGGATGTCCCTCGTGTTCTCTCATACTCCACAGAATCAGACACTTGAGATGCTTCTGATGGAGGCTACGTGCATACTCTCCCGAGAAAGATGCACGCACACACACATGTTCACAGGATGTGTACAATTAGAGCAAGTCCACGGAAGCCCCAAGTAAGAATCCCCACTTTATTATTTTTTTTAAGATTTTTATTCATTTGACAGCACAAGCAGAGGGAGAGGGAGAAGCAGACTCCCTGCTGAGCAGGGAGCCCGATGCGGGGCTCTATACCAGGACCCCGGGATCATGACCCAAGCCAAAGGCAGACACTGAACGACTGAGCCACCCAGGCGCCCCAAGAATCCCCACTTTAAAATAACCCGTGCAGGGCGCCTGGGTGGCTCAGTTGGTTAAGCGACTGCCTTCGGCTCAGGTCATGATCCTGGAGTCCCTGGATCGAGTCCCACGTCGGGCTCCTTGCTCAGCAGGGAGTCTGCTTCTCTCTGACCCTCTTCCCTCTCGTGCTCTCTATCTCTCATTCTCTCTCTCTCTCAAATAAATATTAATTCTTCCAAAAGCCCATGAAGGTGGTACTATAACCCGTGCAGCCCCGCAGAGCTCCAGCCTTGCAGCCTGAGAAGCAGCACTCAGGCCTGGCCAGGGAGGCTGCTGGATGGCCTCTGATGCTCCCGACCCGTGGAGGGCAGTGAACAACAGCCCAACACACAGCTGGGCTTCGGCCCAGGCAGACTCGGGTTCAAGACCAGCTCTGAAACTTCCTAGCTTCATGATTCTGGGCGGGTCACTCCATCTTAGACTCGCTTCTTCATCTGTGAAACAGGAAGGATGATAATATCTACCCCATAGATAGAGGCCATTAAGAGAGATCAACATAAGGCAGTACTTAAAAGGACTCAGGTGCGCCTGGGGGGGCTCAGTTGGTTAAGCGTCCGACTCTTGGTTTTGGCTCAGGTCAAGATCTCAGGGTCGTGAGTTGGAGCCCCACATCGGGCTGGGTGCTCAGTGTGGAGACTGCTTGAGATTCTCTCTCTCCCTCTGCCCCTGCCCCTCCATGCTCTTTTTCTAAAATAAGTAATCTTTTTTTTTTTTTTTTAAGGACTTAGCATGGCCCCTGGCAAGTTAACTGTTTCGGTTTTTTTTTTTAAGATATACTTATTCGATAGAGAGCACGAGTGGGAGGGGCAGAGGGAGAGGGAGAGAGAATCCTCAGCCAGACTCCATGCTGAGCATGGAGCCCGACACAGGGCTCCATCTCACAACCCTGGGATCTCGACCTGAGCCTAAATCAAGAGTCAGACGCTCAAATGCCTGAGCCACCCAGGCCCCCCAAGTTAACTGTTTTTATAGTTGTTGTTGTTACGACTTGAATTCAAGTTCCAGCCCTGCTGCTTCCTGGCTGAGCCACCTTGAGTAAATTGTTTGACCTCACTGAGCCTCAGTCTTATCTTTTATGACTGGGGCTCATGATTCAGCTTCCAAGGGTTTGGGGAGTAAGCCCACGGGTTTGGCACATGGGAGCTGCTCAAGAAAAAAAAAATGTAGCTATTGTTGAGTTGTGTCTTCTTTTCAAAGCACTTTCAAGTAGCTCAGGCCTGGGTGAAGCTCAGAAGACCACTAAGCAGCACCCCCAGTTGGTTTGGACTTGCTGAGGCTGGGTACACAGGTGGCCTCCAGGGGGGCTGGTCCCAGTCAGACCAGGGGCCCTGGCTCCAGGGACACCATGCTGCCCAAGTACTCAGTGACAGAGCAATGAGAGCCAGAAGGGATCTCAGAAATCACTGCTCCCATTTTACAGACGGGAAAACTAAGGCCAAGAGAGAATATAGAAATAAATATTTATAATGACCACAAATTGAGTAGGGACTGTGTCCAGGCATCTTGCTAAGCACCTTACATGCAATAGTTCATTTAATTCTTCCAAAAGCCCATGAAGGTGGTACTATTAACATCACTGTCATCTCCAAATTACAGGTGAAAAACCAGCCCAGCTTGGAGGTCACGTGGCTCTAGGAGATGGAGCTAGGCTTGAAATCAGGGCTCTACGCCCTTCAACACCACGACTAATCATTTACTCAACACTCAGCTACATGCTCAGGTGTACCTTGATGTGTCTTATTTCTC